ATCAAGGCACTCCAACTTGAAGTGGAAATAAAGAGAGCACTCCTTCACCGTACTTGGGAAGGTTGCATAATAACAACAAATATTTTCCGACTGACTTGTATTATTTCATCTATCTACAGCAAGAAATAAGCCAATGTAAAAATTACACAAATATTTATAATTTCAGCAAATAGGTGAATGAGGACTAGTGGAGGTAGAGTGGTGCATAACCCTCAATGGTAGCTCAGGTTCACTAGTTCTTGATGGTGTGGCAGCATCATGAACCTTCAGTGGTGGCCCGGGTACACCACAACCTGGTGGTGTATATCGGCATTGTGGGCTGCGAGCTCTTCTGTGGACTCGCACAGTATGCCACAAATAGAGCATGAGCACACTTCAATCAACTTTAGCTCTAAAACATCTGCCAGGGGCTCCATAATGTGTTCAATGGCCTCCTCTTGTAGTCCCAGCACCTGCATAACCTGGTACTCCTGCTGCTGTCGGTGCTGCTGCTGGTGATTGTGGTGGTTGTGGTTGTAGTGCTGGTGCTGTAGGTGATGTGGTTGACCTTCTCCATGTCTCAGCCGCAAATGTGCTGCTAGTCCAGCCCGGCCACGAAAGCTGCTTCCACAGTGTTCACATATGTTAGAATAGGTTGTGTCTAAGTTGAGATGTGTTTTCATGTGTGCTCGCAGGTTCCAGTTGTTGATATGTGAGGAGCCACACACATCACACACATAGCGTTTGTCCCGCAGGTGCACTGCACGGTGATGCACCCGCAAGCGTTTTTTCTGCTTGAAGGTCATACCACAAAGTGAACACATGAAGGGCCGCTCTTTTGCATGGATGCGGCAATGTTCCCTTAGTTCAGATGCCATCATAAATGCCTTGCTGCACTGGCTGCACACGAAGTTTCCAGAGTTGGTATGACGAGCAACGTGAGACCTGTACGTTGAGCGGAATTTAAAGGAGGAACCACAAGACTCACAAACGTAGGGCCTCAACTTTGAGTGAGTTCTTAGATGTACTGACAACTTAGCTTTATCCGGGGCCTTATAGTCGCAGTGTGGACAAGCGGCCTTTCTCACACCATTATGAACATAAATATTGTGGTATTGCAGGCTGATCTTCTGGGTGAAGGTCTTACCACAGGCAGTACAGGGAAACCGTCTGTCCCCAGAGGTTCTACCACGGCACCGATGACCCTCCAGCAGCTGAGCGTGGGCGAACTCCCGCCGACAGTACCGACAACACACTTCTGCTGACTCCAGAATAACACTCTGCTCTGTAATGAGAAATCCACCTCCTTGTGAGTTCTGTATCAGTCACCACTCACATCCTCCACTCTTAAACACTAACTGCTCATAAAACACATGTTTACATTTCACAGCACTACTCAACTTTGTATGAAAAATGTGTCATGTCAGGCTCTACACGCTGTATGTGTTAAAGTTAACTGCTCAATACATGACACATTGAAGACTCAAACTCTTTTTTAAGAACTATGTAAAGCACTTACTGGTCACACTGATACACAACACTGGTTACACTACTACATACTTGGTTAACAGTAATAAGCAGTTTTGCTGACAGTATTAATTATTATTTTTCATGTTCTCATGTGATTATAGTAAGGAATCTAGGATTTTGTACTGTATTAGTTTCCATTGTGTTGCCTTAATTTTTCTTAGTGGCTTCTGCCAAACTTTTCTGCATAAGCCATTCTAAACAGTCAAGTTCAAGCTGTGCAGATAAGTTGCTACAGTTATTTAAAGATTACATTTATATGTAATGTCAAAATTTTTCAGTCAGATTATTATTATAATCAAAAGAAGCACTAAACCTTTTGAGTCAGAAATTTAGTTGCATCACAACTAAATTTCAGCATCTCCTGCTCCTAACTTTAGGTCATGTGACCTATCTTTGTATATAAGCTTCATCTCTTGCACACTGTTTTAGTTTGCTAAAAAGGGCTTCATTGTGATGCTGAAATATACAGCACACATCTTCTGATTTACCACTCCATGTGGGTTCTTTTGCATCATGTGTACGAGTCAGTAGGATTTTTAAACTCAATGCCACTCTTAACCAGTCTAAATTCCAGAACTACTGTATTCAATAAATATACTGTAGAGAACAAGACAGTGATCAAAACACAACCTTGTGGACTCACTCTCTCTCTGTGGAACTAGGTTTGGAGAACAAAAAAAAAAATGGCCATTGACTTGCACATAAAAATAAGTCTTGCCTTCAAATAGTTACATGAAAAATGAGGACAAAAGCCTCAAAGGCTACAAGACCTCGAGATAAAAAATAAAGCTACAACTGCAGGATAATCAGCAAGTACCAAGTCAAGAGATGTGGGTCATTAGTGAACTAACTCCTCAACTTTCTGATGGAGCTGGTAAGGGTAACAGGATGATAATGGGCTGTGTTATGCCTCAGTGTTCCTGGTTTACAGGAAGACAACAAGGCTTGTCTTCTGTTGAAGACACTGCACCACCCAATGCAATAAAACACTTGTTAAAAACAAAGTGAGCACAGAGGTACAGACTAATTAGCTGGACTTTAGTTCTGAAGGTTAGAAGTAATGCAGGCACTCTGAGGGATGGGACAAAATATTGCACGTCAGTGGAGTGTTTGAACTGTATTGTCTGTACTTTTGTATGAATAGTTAGATAATCAGTTATCATGCGTATATTTTCCTTCTCCGGGTCACCCTGCTTTAGTGGAGTGTTGCCAACAGGTTAAAAACTAATAATGCATAATTTTGTACAAAAACATACACCAATAAATGTGAAATTAGGTATTGTAGTTTAAATTAACCTTCCAGCTGGGCTGTTAAGATTACACACGGTATAATACAGGATGAAAAGGTCAATGGCTGGCTCTGGATAGAGTTCCAAGTACAAGAATAACTCATAAACTGGTAAATGTTAGGAAAACAGTAAATGAAATGCTATTCCATAACAATAATAGTGGTATGTGGAGAGACTGGATGCCATGAAGTATCCTCACCAGCAAATCTGTAACCATAAGATAATAATCCTAGGTAGTAGGTTGGTAGACAGCAACTGCCCAGGGAGCTACTACTGTCCTGCCAAGTGAGTGTAAAACGAAAGCCTGTAATTATTTTACAGGATGGTAGGATTTCTGGTGTCTTTTTTCTGTTTCATAAACATGCAAGTTTTCAGGTACGTCTTGCTACTTCTACTTACACTTAGGTCACACTACACATGCATGTACAAGCATATATATACACACCGCTCTGGGTTTTCTATTTTCTTACTAGTTCTTGTACTTGTTTATTTCCTCTTATTTCCATGGGGAAGTGGAACAGAATTCTTCCTCCATAAGCCATATGTGTCGTAAGAGGCAACTAACATGCCAGGAGCAAGGGGCTAGTAACTCCTTCTCCTGTATACATTACTGAAGTTTAAAAGAGAAACTTTTGTTTTTCTTTTTGGGTCACCCTGCTTCGGTGGGATGTGGCTGGTTTGTTGAAAGATAATAATGTTATAAGAAACAAATTATAAACCATTTTATTTTATTTTAATGAACAATATTTGTTTGTAAACCATTTATGAGGTGCGTTACATTTTATGTTAGAGAATAAAGTGAGCTATGGCACACTTTCAGCTATGTTTATACCTGAATAACTAGCTGCTTCCCATTACTGAGTCCTATACTGTATTTCTTTATATAGAAAAACAGCTTAGCCAGGGAAAATTATATCTGATATGCTGTGAATGCTTTGGCTTTTCACATTATTGTATATTTATCTATAATAATTGTGAAATAAAACTTTTATTATCATTATATCATTATCACTATGTAAATTTGACTTCATTAGTGAAGAATAAAAAATAATTCTTCAGTTACTTAGTCTAACTACCATAGTGCATGAGACAGTTCCCACACTGCAGTTTAAAAATATGCTTTACTGTAGTGACAAGTTGTTCGTGGGTTATATTTACAGTAAACCCTTGATTTAACGGAAGTTAGTGGACTTCGAAAATACTAGGCAAAATACAATGGGTCAAGCAATTTAGAGACAATGGACAAAATCCATTTAAAAACTGTTCATTATTGTTAATATCATAGCAAAACTATCAAATCTCTGTCCACCATTACTGGTGACTTGCTCTCCCCATTAATCCATTAAAGCAAGGATTAACTATTATATTAAGAAAAATATGAAAGTTGTATGAGTGGTACAGTGGAAGTAAGAGCACAGCCTCAAGCCATTACTTGGTCAAACCTTATGACCATTCAGACAGTCTTGAAAGAATTTTTCTTACTCATCATATATGTAATATAATCTTGAAACTCCAGCATTAAAACAAAAATCTAAGAAACTAAGAAAGTTGATAAGAACAAAATTGTATTCAGTAAATAAGTATTCCTTTGCCTTAATAACATTACTGCTCTGGAGATGGAACAATGACAACAAATATTGTAATTTTAATTCATAATAATTTCACGTTACTATATCATTCTTGGTGTACATGTATTTGTTGTATAATTGTTCATTGAAGCTTAGCATTTGTCTTTTGTCTTATGTTTGAAATATTTAATTGCTCAGTGCTTTCCAAAAGATTTCACACTAAAATAAACAACTCAAAAAATATTTTTTTTGAGAAAACGATATTTCGAAGATTGTCCAAAACATGTTAATTTTTTTTCAAGACAGAACCCCAAGAACAATTTTCCCTGCATAACTCATCTTATTTGTAATTATATTTAATTTTGTTTTTATTTACTTTCTTCCTATTTTAAAATATGTTTTTATGCACTGTACTATATAAATATGCATTAAATGTTAGTTAAAACAAAAAAAATGACTTGGTGTAATATCAATTTTATATCAAAATTAGTAAAAGGCTAGTGAAGCAGATCAATACTTGAGACAGTAAGATTTTCTAGGAACTAACATGGCATTGGCCCAGAGTGCTGGTCTTCACAGGACTGATTATTATGAAATTTAACAACTCAATTTTCAGGAAATATTATAAACCCTGTATTTTAATGATCTTTATTTACTTTGGGGTCTCAGGATTATATTGAACTTCATATTCCATATTCTCAATCTTGACCTTACAAACTGAGAAGTTCACTCCCTCCTCATAAACAATATCATCATGTTCTTTCTCACTAACATCTACCATCTCTGGATCATCTACTACTTCACTACTAGAAGCGAGCGTATATTCAAGCTTAACTGGACGCCGTGTGGGATGGGGCGTCAATAAAGTTTTGTCACTAACTTTGTTAACTTTCTCTTGGGGGAGATTCATGGCATGAATCACTCTCATATGAACGGAGAGTCCACCAAAGCCTCTGAATGTTGCTTTACATACACTACAATGGAATGCATGAGGAAGTTTTGAAATATCTCTGTGTATTTTCATGTGTGCTTTGAGGTTCGAGCCAGTCATGTGTCGAGAACCACATAAATCACATATAAATCGTTTGTCATTAAGATGTACTGCCCGAATGTGGCAGGCTACGTGCTTGTAGGTCTTGAAGGCAGCATCACAGTAATTGCAAGAATAATTTCGCTCTTCTTGGTGACTGCGTTGATGATCTTCAAATATGCTTTTCTGATTGTATGCCTTATTGCACACATTACAAACAAATCGGCCATCATTAGTATGAAGAACCATATGATTCCTGTAGGCCTGATTAGTTTTCAGACCTTTGTCACATATTGAACAAACATACTGACGCTCATCAGTGTGTACCTTCATGTGTCTCTTAAGGTGGTAGAGCCTCGGACCCTCATAATCACACTTGTCACACTGGTATCGACGACGATCTCCATGCTTGAACATACAGTGCACATTTAGACTTATTTTCTGAGCAAAAGTTTCACTGCAGGTATTGCAACGGTATTTGTTATTCCACGGAGTTATATCGAGGTGAACTTGCTGCAGGTGTATATCGGCTTCATACTTAGTATTAAATAGTTCTTTGCACTCCTTGCAGGCATGTTCTTGTTTTGCAGGCTGGGTGTTGCCTTGCTTTTCATTTGATCTTCCTTTGAGTTTGTCTGAATTTCTCTGTTGCCTTCCTTGGGCTTTTATCTGCTTCAAATTTTGAATCTTGCCTTTACTGGGATGAAGCAAGAGTGAGACTTGAGGAGTGTCAGATCCAACAGTGCCTTCCACATGAGCCTTGTTGCTGGTGCCCATCCCTGCCCCAGCCTCTCCAGCCACTGCCAAGTGCTCTGCAATAAGAGGCAGCCATCAGACAGAGTGGGGTGGGCGCTTGGTGGCTAGGCATTGCACACATAGCAATCATAAGTATGGAAGAGTTGACAGCTATACATTACCTTTGATAAAATGATATAAATCTAGCTTTGCATATTTTTATTGCAGTGAATGCTCAGAACTCTTCTTTTCATTTTATACACTGCTGACTATATAAATTATTAAAATATTAATATTTTCATGAGGAAATGATCAACCAATCAAGGTAGAACAACACCTGAGAAATGGGAGCTAATCAGGCTTGATCCAAGGAAGGGGAAGATTGCTCCAGTTCCTCAGATCAGGAGCCCTTCACTAGCCTCAAGGCATCCTCCTTAAAGCATAACTTCGCACTGATTTATAAAGCAAAGCTGAGTATGTATATGATGATAACCACAGCACAGTAAAGTCATTACTATGTAAGCATCAATTACTCGATCACAATGATAACTGTATCTGTATATATAAAAACAATTTTTTTTATCAAACTGAACAACCACTCTTTAGAAAAAAATAACCTGCCATCAAAGTACAATGAGGCCTCCAACAAAGGTAAAGTGTAATCAACTCTCTTTGAAAAGGACATAGAGAGCCTCAGAGATTAAGAAGTGTCTGAACTAATGAGAGACTTCGGTTCACAAACTTGGTGATGAAAGAAACCATATGAAAGAGCAAAAGTAAAATTAATGAAAGAATCATAGCATTGTCCTAAGATAAAGGAGCATTGAAGGATGTGTTATTACCTACCAAACATATACGAAATACTTATTACAAAGAATAATAAGGCACAATAGCATGACTGGAACAATACACAAATAACCCTCCTCATACATATCTGGCTCCCTTCCCTTTGCACTTGTGTGTGACTAGTTAATAGTCCAAGTCAGACCAAAACATCGTCATAAGTTTCATTCTTCTATATGCGAGTATTTGTGTACTTATTATAGAAAACCTATATAAACATAGGCAGAGATGGACTACTAGGACTGTAGAACCTGCATCATTTACTTAGATCACTGAACATAGCTTGGGTAAGCCAGCAGTTACTGCTGCCATGGTTTGCAATTGGGCTACTGGCAACCCTACCTTCATATGCTCTTAGATACCTCTATCTTGCTGCATCCTCCACCATAGTGCATCAACAAATGTGTCATTACATGAAAAAGCCCTGTGTCAGGTAATTATACCTGATGAACAAACTATAGTAACAGCAATATTAATGAAAAAAACAAAAAACAGATTGGTTGTAGAGGACTGGCTCTCTGATACAAAAGGTAAGGAAAATTACTAAAATTATTATACTGTCCTTTACTGTACATGACAGTACCATTATACTTGCAACTTTATTTACAATTCCTGCATAATAGTGTACTGTATTACATGTTACAATAATTTTAGTGTTCTGTAGTCTTCTCAGTCCATTGACCAAGACTGCTGATTCCATTTATGTTATGATCATAAAATATAAATTTTATAATTTGGAATCTTCGGACAACTGGCAATAATGTACAACCCCCCCCCCCATCCATTAATTAGAGGGTTCACTTTAATGAGGGAGAAGGGAGCATGTGGCTGGTATTGGAGACTGTGGCAGTGGAACACCATGAGATTGTTTTACTGTGATTGTAACAATAGTGTACAATTCTGTAGCCAACAGATTTTGCATTACTGAATCAAATGACACAGTAGATTTTTAACTATTTCCAAAGTCCATTAAATCAAGGGTTTACTGCTATGCACATTGGCAACACAAAAGTTGGACATGAACATAAATAATTGGTTGACCAATATAAGAAGTGGAAGAGAAGGGCTGTATAATGACCATTAGCAATGGCCTCAAATATACAAAATGTGTAGTCGTGGTTAACAATACAGTGGACCCCCGGTTAACGATATTTTTTCAATCCAGAAGTATGTTCAGGTGCCAGTACTGACCGAATTTGTTCCCATAAGAATATTGTGAAGTAGATTAGTCCATTTCAGACCCCCAAACATACACATACAAACGCACTTACATAAATACACTTACATAATTGGTCGCATTCGGAGGTGATCGTTATGCGGGGGTCCACTGTATTAAGATGATGCTAATCTGCATAAAAGATGTGAAGAGGGAGACCCCAACTACAATTTTTTGGACAATGCATCACTTAAAAGGAGCTTTATCAATTCTATGTAAGCTCCTGTAAGCAAAACAGTATCCAAAATACAGTGGTACCTCGGGATACGAACAGCTCAAAACTCGAACAGTTATGTAAGTGTATTTACGTAAGTGCTTTTGTAAGTGTATTTTTGGGGGTCTGAAATGAATTAATCTGATTTACATTATTCCTTATGGGAACAAATTCGTTCGGTATCGGCACTCGAACAGCCTTCTGGAACGAAAAAAATTCGTATCCCGAGGTACCACTGTAGTTTTGTAAGTGCAAAAATATCAAGAATGTAACATACAAACAAAATTGAAACATTTTTTTTTAGCTGTCTCTGTACAATACTACTATTGAAAAAGCCACCAGTGACAGAACTTGTGCTTCAATATGTCTTGGTTGTGTGTCTATGACTTATTCTCACTTTCTGCTAGTATGAACATACCAGTACATGGAACCTCGTTATACGACCAACTCCCTACTCGAACAAAGCTCAGCACTTGACCAAACAAATACGACTTGCCAGAACTTCGCAGTAATCTATTTCGTGTTTCCTAGCATTTTTTAGTGTTTTTTTTTGTATTATCTGTATAAATAAGTCACCATGGGGACTATGAAAATTAGTGATAACAGCCAACCAAACAGAAAATTGGTTGGGAAGAACTTGTTCGATACTCAAACAGAGCAGCACTCGAACACCCTTCTGGAATGAATTAAGGTCACATACCAAGGTTTCACTGTACAGTGGTCCCCCGGTTTTCGTAGTTCCCGGCAATCGTAAAATTCGCCAATCATAGGGGTATTTTTGTATAAACATGGACTCGCTTTTCATAGGTTGACTCACGAGTCGTAGTTCGTCCGGGACGCGTACCCACTGCGTGAGCCGGGGCGGCAGCCAGTCTGGCATTGTTTACCAGTGAGCGAAGGTCCCCTCACGTGCTCCAGCGAAATATTTCATAATATTCCATTTATTTTAGTGCTTGCAAGTACTAAATAAGCTACCATGGCTCCAAAGAAAGCTCCTAGTGCCAAGCCTGTGGTAAAGAAGGTGAGAAATACGATTGAATTTAAGAAAACCATCATTGAGCAATATGAAAGTGGTACAAGTGTGGCCGAACTGTCCAGGATGTATAAGAAACCCTACACAACCTTATGTTCCATAGTGGCCAAGAAAAAGGAAATAAAGGATGCTGTTGTTGCAAAGGGAGTAACTATGCTGACAAAAATGAGATCACCAGTACTGGAAGAGGTTGAGAAGTTATTATTGGTGTGGATAAATGAGAAACAATTAGCAGGAGATACTCTTATGACTTTGATTATTTGTGAAAAGGCTAGGCAGTTGCATGAAGATTTGGTAAAAAAATTGCCTGCAAATAGTGGTGAAGTGAGTGAATTTAAGGCCAGCAAAGGCTGGTTTGAGAGATTTAAGAACCATACTGGCTACACAGTGTGGTAAGGCATGGTGAGGCGCCAGTTCGGACCACAAGGCGGCTGAAAATTATGTGCATGAATTCCAGGAGTACATAGAGGTTGAAGGACTGAAACCTGAACAAGTGTTCAATTGTGACGAAACAGGCCTCTTTTGGTAGAAAATGCCAAAGAGGACCTTCATTACACAAGAGGAAAAGGCAATGCCAGGACACAAGCCTATGAAAGACAGGCTGAGCTAATGTTCTGTGCTAATGCTAGTGGGGATTTCAAAGTGAAGCCATTACTAGTGTACCATTCTGAAAATCCCAGAGTGTTCAGGAAAAAACAATGTTATGAAGAGTAAATTGTGTGTGTTTTGGAAATCTAATAGTAAGGCATGGGTCACAAGGGAAATTTTCGTCGAGTGGTTCAATGAAGTGTTTGGCCCTAGTGTGAAGGAGTATCTCCTGGAAAAGAAATTGGATCTCAAGTGCGTGCTAGTAATGGACAATGCACCTGCTCATCCTCCAAACTTGGATGACCTAATTTTCGAGGAGTTTGGGTTCATCACAGTAAAGTTCTTGCCCCTGAATACCACTCCTCTCCTCCAACCCATGGACCAGAAGGTTATTGCAAACTTTAAAAAACTCTACACAAAAGCAATGTTTCACAGGTGCTTGACTGTGACCACAGACACTCACTTGACCCTAAGGGAATTTTGGAGAGAACACTTCAGCATCCTCCACTGCATAACCCTTATAGGTATGGCTTGGGAGGGAGTGACTACCAGGACTTTGAACTCCGCCTGGAGAAAATTGTGGCCAGATTATGTCGACAAGAGGGATTTTGAAGGATTTGGGACTGACCCTAATGAGCCTATGTCTGTTGTAAAATCAATTGTGGCACTGGGGAGTTCCATGGGGTTGGATGTGAGTTTGGAGGATGTGGAAGAATTGGTGGAAGACCACAATGAAGAGCTCACCACTGAGGAGCTGAAAGAGCTTCAGCAGGAAGAGCAACACATCGCAGCTCAGAATCTTGCTGCAGAGGAGGAGGAAGAGAGATGGAAGAAGGTGCCTTCTTCAGAAATTAAAGAGATTTTTACTATGTGGGGTAAGATGGAAAGCTTTATGGAGAAACATCACCCTAACAAGGTTGTTGCAAGCCAGGTTAGCAACATGTACAGTGACAAAGTCATTTAGGCCATTTTAGGGAAGTGTTAAAGAGATGCCAGAAACAGAGCTTTCTCCACAGTTATTTTGTGAGACAGGACTCCAGTGACTCTCAAGGTGGTCCTAGTGGCATTAAGAAACAGAGAAGAGAAGCAACCCCAGAAAAGCAAATGGTACCCAAGGTGTTGATGGAAGGGGGAATCCCCTTCCATCAACACCTCAGGTACCACTCTCTCTCCTCCTCCAGTCTCCCATACACTAAGAAGAATCTCCAATAAAGGTAAGTGTTATGCTGTTAATGTTTCATTCATCATTTCCCATTGTATTGTTTATGTACTACATGTATATTTCATGTTAAAAATTTTTTTGTTTTAATACTTCTGGGTGCCAGGAATGGATTAATTGTATTTACATTATTTCTTATGGGGAAAATTGATTTGTAAATCGTAAATTTCGTTTATAGTAACGGCTCCAGGAACGGATTAATTACGAAAAACGAGGGACCACTGTACTTTCAAAAATATTTTCCTTCTTGATTCTTATGACTCAATTGATTTTTATTAAATTCATGGGAAGACATTAAGGCTTGAAGAGTGCCACACGGCAGAGGTGAAAATGAACGCAAAAAAGAAGAAAAATAAGGAAGGGGGGATGAGCAGAGGGCAATGGGAATAAGAAAGGGGTGGGAGGAATACGGTAGAGTAAGGGCAGCACTCTTATTACAGGAGCAGCAGCAGCAGTGTCATCACCATCACTAGCAGTGGTGTTATTATGGTGCTTAAGGCCTATTATTGTGTTCTTATTTACATACCCACTGACATGGGTATATAAATAAGATCACAAATTTAAAACATTAATGAAACAACGTTTTAATTAAAATTTATACAGGTTTAAATCTTAAGGAGGTTAATTAAATTTGATGCATTAATGATATTACACTTTCTAGTTTAACTCTTTAGATTCATTTCTCTGTAAAAATTCTATAAATAATTGCAATGAAAACATGATTGAAATCATTTTTAATTAAAACTTGATACTGTATATTGAATAGCAATGACATTTAGCACCACAGGCATCATATGGGGCATCCACAAGATTCATAGCAGTGGAGGCATCAGCAGCAACAGTGGCATCATCAGTAATGATGTCAAGAGCAACGGTGGCATTAATGATGGTGACAGCATCAGAAGTAATGGTAGTGTCACTGTCAGAGTCACAAGGTGAAATTCACTTGCCACATCAGATTTTGATCACTGGAGAAAGAACCCCACCCTTTAATCACAAAGCAGTAAGAGGGGCAGGGATTATTAACTTTGATCCGAGAAAAGGAAGGCAAGCCCAAATTTGTTGTAGCAAGAACCCTTCACCATGACAAAGAACCCTCATGAAGAGCCATGTGTTATTGAATGGCGGTGTCTGTGTACTGCTCATGTATATACAAACATAATTTTATTTTCATCTTAGTATTTTGCTTGGGCTTGGGGAATGAGAGGGAAGAGTGACTCTCCAGGTGACTCAATAGCTATCTATTCTCTTCTCTTGATAGGTACATTCAGACCTTTTACCATGTAAAAAAATATATAGTACTATTTTTCATTTATTTTTGCATTTAGTTTTTCTATTATTATTTTCATGGGGTAATGTTAAGCTAACAGGGTCATACAGTGCTTGGGGAATATTTTTTTTTTTTTTTTTTATTATCACACTGGCCGATTCCCACCAAGGCAGGGTGGCCCGAAAAAGAAAAACTTTCACCATCATTCACTCCATCACTGTCTTGCCAGAAGGGTGCTTTACACTACAGTTTTTAAACTGCAACATTAACACCCCTCCTTCAGAGTGCAGGCACTGTACTTCCCATCTCCAGGACTCAAGTCCGGCCTGCCGGTTTCCCTGAATCCCTTCATAAATGTTACTTTGCTCACACTCCAACAGCACGTCAAGTATTAAAAACCATTTGTCTCCATTCACTCCTATCAAACACGCTCACGCATGCCTGCTGGAAGTCCAAGCCCCTCGCACACAAAACCTCCTTTACCCCCTCCCTCCAACCCTTCCTAGGCCGACCCCTACCCCGCCTTCCTTCCACTACAGACTGATACACTCTTGAAGTCATTCTGTTTCGCTCCATTCTCTCTACATGTCCGAACCACCTCAACAACCCTTCCTCAGCCCTCTGGACAACAGTTTTGGTAATCCCGCACCTCCTCCTAACTTCCAAACTACGAATTCTCTGCATTATATTCACACCACACATTGCCCTCAGACATGACATCTCCACTGCCTCCAGCCTTCTCCTCGCTGCAACATTCATCACCCACGCTTCACACCCATATAAGAGCGTTGGTAAAACTATACTCTCGTACATTCCCCTCTTTGCCTCCAAGGACAAAGTTCTTTGTCTCCACAGACTCCTAAGTGCACCACTCACTCTTTTTCCCTCATCAATTCTATGATTCACCTCATCTTTCATAGACCCATCCGCTGACACGTCCACTCCCAAATATCTGAATACATTCACCTCCTCCATACTCTCTCCCTCCAATCTGATATTCAATCTTTCATCACCTAATCTTTTTGTTATCCTCATAACCTTACTCTTTCCTGTATTCACCTTTAATTTTCTTCTTTTGCACACCCTACCAAATTCATCCACCAATCTCTGCAGCTTCTCTTCAGAATCTCCCAAGAGCACAGTGTCATCAGCAAAGAGCAACTGTGACAACTCCCACTTTGTGTGTGATTCTTTATCTTTTAACTCCACGCCTCTTGCCAAGACCCTCGCATTTACTTCTCTTACAACCCCATCTATAAATATATTAAACAACCACGGTGACATCACACATCCTTGTCTAAGGCCTACTTTTACTAGGTAATAATTTTGATCCATGAAAGGTGAGGGTACCTCCTATTCTTAGGCTTAGGAGCCCTTTGAGTAGCTTTAAAAATAGATTAGACAAGTACATGAGTGGGTATGGGTGGGTGTGAGTTAGACCTGCTTAGGATGGGTCAGTAGGCCTGCTGCAGTTTTTATGTTCACCAGCACCATGGTAACCCCTATGATTTTTATTTTCGTATAATCAATCTTTAATAATGCAGTTATGCACCTGCAGTCCTCGGGCTTTGCCTTCTCTTTATAAACAGTTTTCCTTTGCTTAGCATTTATGGTAATTTGTGTGTAGGAAGAGAAGCAAAGGTGAAGTCATGGTGACAGGTATTCAGTATGTAGGCTACTGTAAAGTTTTCTAACATTTCCTGTGGTTGTAAACATGCTGCCTTCTCTCGTTAACCTTCTATCGCTGTACTACTCTCTTTGCAAAGAAAGACTTTCTAATATGCTTTCAGGCAATTTTCTTTTAGTTTACAGCTATGGCCTCCTGCTCTGCCAGTTGATAGGGTTAGAAAGTCTTCCTTATTAATGTCTTGTGTTATTTTATGATCTTAAATGTTATTACATTTCTTTTGAATGTTAATGCACATAAGTGCAACAGATTATTGTGTAGCACTTCCTAGGTACAGTACTGTACTGCAAACGAAGTCAGAGAAACTAGCAAAAAATAAATCCCTATATTTTCGATTTTTATAAAGCGATGCTTTACCAAGCAAACCATTTTATACAATGATTGTGAATTGCATATCTTGAATACAAACAAATAAATGAACAAAAGCATACAAACAAATACACACATATATATATATTTTTTTTCAACACGTCAACCGTCTCCCGCCAAGGCAGGGTGACCCAAAAATGAAACTTTCACCATCATTCAATACTTTCACCGTTCAGGGAAACTGGTTAGCCAGACTTGAGTCCTGGAGGTGGGAAGTACAATGCCTGCACTTTAAAGAAGTAGTTTGGGATACTGGCTGTTTGGAATGACATCTAAACTGTCATATCTGAGTGCCTCTGCAAAAACTGTGATATATACAGGGATAAAAAAAAAAAACAGACAGGACAAGCTTCAATCATGACAATGTACTGTTGGAACGTTAACCATATAACATTTATGAAGGGATTCAGAAAAACTGGTTTGCCAGACTCAAGTCCTGGAGGTGGAAAGTACAGTGCCTGCACCCTAAAGGAAGTATGAGGATGTTGCAGTTTGAAGTTACATCTGAACTATGTCAGCATGCTTCAGGCAAGACAGTTATTGAATGAATGATGATGAATATGCTTCCTCTTTTCTGCATCACCCTACCTTGGTGGGAGATGACTGGTGTGCGTGTGTACAAAAAAAAAAAAAAGCAGCCGCTTAGTCCCATATCAGTCGAAAGTAAAGAGGCAACACCAGGAGCTGGAGCTCCTGTTCATATACTCAAGTAAATACACACAAATTCTGTAGTAACCCTACAAAATGGCTTCCAGAGTTGATTTACAAGAACTGAACATAACGTCAGGGCTAGATAGACAGGAAAAAATGTTATAACCACTTATAACATAAAAATTTATGAGAAATTAGATAAGGAAGACTTTTTTGCACCAACATGGAGAACTGGAAGCCAGTGTTGTAAACAAAACTGTTGTATGACCCATATGGGCTTAGCACTTCAATATAATTTAATTCACAAATAACCCACACTTAAGAGAGGAAACTTAAGACAATGTTTCTGTCTTACGTGGAAAATGGTCAGTGGCCTGACAATGGTCCAGGATGGATCGAAACATTGTCCGAAAATTTCCTCTCATAAATGTGGGTTATTTATGAATTGTTCTAGCCATGGTATTGTGACTTTTTATCCTACAGCTTTACAAATAAGAGTACTACTGTTGGAGTGATCTAGGAGGAGGTACCATCAAGTGCTACAACCAATGAACACTATAAAATTTATAGAACCAACTAACAACAGAACACAGGATGCCCCAAGCACAGCTCTGCTGTGATAATTACAAACAGGTGCAGTAATCACAAATACTAGTTACTCAAACAGGCTGAGCAGATGAAATAGGATAACCTATGATTCATGATACTAACATATTTTTTTCTTAATTATTGGAATTTGAAGACACAAACACAAAATCACCTTGAAGCATGGCTAAGGTATACTAAAAACCATTTTATATGCAAACTTTATTGAAGTTACTTTTCAACTCAAGACTTATGTTTCAACAAATAAAGGAGGGCATTGTAAAAAAAAAAAAATAAAATAATGCTTCAAACCTTGTTGAAGGTGGGATCATGAATAAAGGTAGTAGACTATTCAGCAGAGGTAGATTCCTCAACCTGAGCTTGATGGACATCCTTCTGGTGTTGCTGAAGTAGAGTCTTGGATGTATACATGGTATGGCAGGTAGCACAAGGAAACATATTAATGATACACTGTGCTCCAACCTCTTCTGATGATAACAGGGGATCTATGGAGTCCTCTGATCGGTTTGCGCTGTACACTTCATATACCACATCAGAGGACTTTGAATCGTATAGGATGTAGGCATCTCCATCAACATATATAGTCTCCATGTTTGATTCTTCCTTCATCGAGCCCTCCCCTTGTGTGGTGTTTGACAAGCGAGAGTACTGGAAGTGGACTGGGCGACGGGTTGGATGAGGTGTGACTATTGGATCTTCTTCTATTTTCGTAATTTCTCTTTTGTGCACAACACGCATGTGTGTTCTCAGCCCCTGAGAGCCTCGAAATTTTGCATCACACCCACTACACTGATATATATAGGGTATATCTGATATATCCCCATGCCTCTTTAAATGTCCCTTAAGGTTGAAACCAGTCATGTGTTGAGCACCACACAGATCACATATGAATCGCTTATCATTGAGATGAACAGCACGTATGTGTCGTGCCACATGCTTATAAGCTTTGAACGCAGCTCCGCAATAATTACAAGCATAGTCTCGATCGTCTTGGTGGCTGCGTTGATGGTCTTCATATGCACCTTTGTGATTATAAGCTTTACTGCACACCTTGCAGAAAAAGCGGCCCTCATTGGTATGTATAACTAAGTGATTTCTATAAGATTCAGCAGTTTTTAGACCTTTGCCACATTCTGGGCAAATAAACTGTCGCTCATCAGTGTGCACCCTCATATGCCGCTTCAAATATTCTTTGGTCGGCCCCTCATATGTACATTTCTTACACTGATAACGGCGTGGCGCCCCATGCTTGAACATGCGATGAACATTCAGGCTAATTTTTTGGGTAAACGTCTTTCCACAATCTTCACATGTATGCTCGCCTTGCCATGGTGCTACACCCAAGTGAATGTGACTGAAGTGCAAGTCAAATTTCCGTTGCGTACTAAACACCATGTCACATTCATGACAGGGATGCTCCTGTCGTATCCATCTGGTGTCTCCTGGGCGCCGACGTCGCCCAACTGGCTTTTGCCGTTTTGCAGGAGTCTTGGGTGTAACAGAGCCTTCCACACCAGTCCTGTCGCTGGTACCCATCCCTGCCCCAGCCTCTCCAGCCACCAGCAACTGTTCTGCAATGAGAGGTGGCCGTCAAACAGAGGATGGGGTGGGGCACTTGGTGGAGAGGCGCAGATACCAGTAGGGTGAGGAATGCTCCACCCACCAAGCACTTATAAATATTTGGTTTGCATGCACACACATAATGGTTTACATTCACACATGCATACACTAAATTTTGATAATTTTATTGGAGCTTGAAAATAAATAATAAAAACTTCTGTTACAGAGAACCATGAACAAAGGTAGAAATTTTTAGATGAAACTGGAAAAGTATCTTTGCCAAGTGCCAGATAAACCAGGCTGTAAAGGATATGTGGGCCACTAACAGTAACAGCCTGGTTGAACAGATGATCAACAAGAAAGCCTGACCACAGGCTGGGTCACAAGTGTAAAAGAACAATTAAAATTGTTCACAGAGAGGGTATACTATCAATATGCCACGTTACATGGCTTCTCCAGCTGGAGCATGCAAGGTACCCCTCTCTACAAGGATGACCTCCACTGTAGTGACTATGAACAGATCTTGTGTGACACATTCACCACTACATAATATACAGTGATTTTGCACACTACTGCACACAAGTTATATTTTCAAAATACTTTTTTTTTTTTTTACTTCTCTCTTCTTTTCCTGGTAGTTTGCTTTCCTTGCATTATTTTTATATTGCAAAATCTTTCCCTACGCCAACAGTTTCTCCATTATAATCATTTCTATAAGTTGTATTCCCTGCTGCACCTATCCTCATTTCTGTTATTTATAGGCATCCTGTTGCTAGAATTTCATATACAATATGAGAAAATGCCTCAGTCTGTTCTGAAATGTTGAAATGTGCAATAAAAACAAATTTTATCTTGTTCTTAATAAAATTACAAACCTCTGCTACACACTGACGATACATTATTAAAGTTATACCACCACACTTTTGCCATGTAAGGTCATCTCTCTCAAGCCAAGATTTTTACCAACACCTATTTAATCCTTTCACTGTCCAGACCCCCAAAATTAATATTGATCACATTGTTCACATTTAAATAAAAAAATCTGAAATGGAAGAGAATCTTCTATTTCAGATGTGATGGAAAACTTATGGCATAAAGTTAGTGATCTGGGTACAATTTACGCATTGAATATTTCACCCACTTTCAGTCCTATTTTAAGTAAATTACATTGCTCCATTCGACCAAATTCTTAGTTATTTTGCTAGTATGCCTTCATTTCTATCAACTGAGCACAAGAAACCACCCATTCAACTATTAGAACTACCCCATAAAGTATAAAATGCTCAGAATTTGACAATTTGGCCAATTTAAAAAAAAAATTTAAAAATTCAAATGTAAAAATAAGAGTCCAAAATGAACAATGTAGACATTCTAGGCACTAAAACAACATTTCCTTTGTTCATTAATCATGTGCCCTGTTAACCAGGCCAGTTCTTCATGCACTTCTTTGAAAATCAGACCCTGGCCTGTTCAATCATTTCTGCTGCCATCACAGCAAGAATCGCTTTTCCATCAGGAGACAGAGTGGTGAGTTAAGGTTTTGAGCCACAACAGCATGTGTCACATCTCGGGAGGTGAATCATCATTTCGTAATAGTGTGATGTTCTCTGGCTGTGAAAGGTGTCCAACGAGCCAAAGATGCCACCATCACTGATGCCTGACGTGTAACTATAAAACAGTTGAATGCTGTCATCTTGGCAGAATTACGTGGAAGGCAGGTACTGTATGGATAGTGTAACATACACTAATGCTTAGCACAAGTGTACCACACATTTGTTTATATAGCAGTAAATAATTAGGAGCTGGTCAACTGTTGTCAAGGGTACCCTGGGCCAAAACCTATACCCTAAAGACCCCAATGAAAATAAACTACACTGCTTGACTTTGTTTAGGTTGTCTTAGGTGATTAGCTCTCCAGAGTTAATAATTAGAATAAAATATTCTTCTAAGGGCCCCACTAGAAATAACCTACACTTATTGGCTTTCTTGGGTCAAAATACCCTTGATTAACCTATTACAGTTAATAATCCAGATAAAGTCTTCTTTTTCTACCTAAGCACAAATCAACGTGGTAGCACTATGGGTCGAGTCTACAGCCCAGCCAACAACCTGGTGTTGTCATACAGTGCCTGGGGAAGTGGAGATAATTAGATTTGATCTGAAGGAGAGGATAGTTCCAATTCTGCTGATCAAGAACACTTCACCAGCATTAAGACATCCCTTTGAAGGTATATGTTCTTTAATCTTCTCATGTCTGTAGTAAAGCCTGTCTGTCTCTCAAACTACAGAGGACTCTGACCACCTTTTCTCTCTTGTGCTACATTCTCCAATATAGAGTACTAAGTTGATACAGTGTCAATCACAAACATGAAGTACTACCTGGAGTCTACGTGGAGGGTATTCTGGGGATCAACGCCCCCGTGGCCTGGTCCACGACCAGGCTTCCTGGTGGATCAGGGCCTGATCAACGTACGAACCACAGCCTGGCTGATCCAGCACCGACTTTATCTGTCCAGCTTCCTCTTGAAGGCAGCCAGGGGCCTATTGGTAATTCCCCTTATGCATGGTGGGATGCTCTTGAACAGTCTAGGGCCCCAGACACTTGTGGTGTTATCTCTTAGTGTACCAATGGTGCCCCTATTTTTCACTGGGGGTATTTTGCACTGCATGCCCAGTCTTTTACTTTTGTAGGGAGTGATTTCTGTGTGCGGATTCAGGACCATTCCTTCTAGGATTTTCCAAGTGGGGTTTTGCATACTTAGCACACTGTTCTGCAGCCACTTCCAGAAAGTTCTTAGAATCGTCGATGTAACCACACTTGGGCTGTCATAAATATTAGTGGTAAGTATAATTACCTCTAGGGGGTGTTATTCAGCATATCTCAGAAACTGATTGCTGAAATTATACATACTGGTGTGGGCTTGACGGCCCTCGGATCACTGGGTAATGGTATGTCAAATAAGACATGAAACTGGATATCCGCTGCACAGCCGACCTACCCGTCATGTTTATTAGACGTACCTTGGTATTTGTAGCTGACCCGAAGTTTCACCCAGTTATCTGCTGTCTTGATTAAAGCAGACGTGTTCTAAAGAATGTCGCACTGTCTTCCACTCCGTCGAGAAATTTGCGACACTCGTTGTTTACACTGTTCATCAGTATGTATTGTTTATTATTTACGGTCATATTACTAAAGAAGCTGATCACACTTCTGTGTATCTGCTGTGTCCGTTGAGATTCTTTTATGCACAAAAATGTGTGGATCAGTGTTCTTTGTTCGTTATCCCAGCATTAATGTTTCCTTTGGCAGGGTTGAAAGCAATCTAATCGCCTCTGACCCGCTCCAGCTGCCACTGCCTTCAGTGTCTCTCTACATAAAGGATTTGCTGATACAAGCAGATTTGCTTTTCTTGCCTAACTGCAACAATTTGTAACACAAATGCGTTGATTTCTTGATATGTCTCAATCACTTAGAGTTCATTATGTCCCACATGTGAATAAAGTGAGGTAGATGTTTCCCTGTACCTTTCCTGTTGCAGTACAGAGATTAATTACTCTTGTTAACTCACACTGGTTGCAACAATGGTCTCTTGCAAGGAGGTAATGTAACCTGTGACTGGTACACGCTGGTTAAGCATCTGCTTGTAATTACTTGATGTGGAAGTAAACAGGATGCCATTGCCCCTTCTGAGAGGGCTGGGCCCCTGAGTGCTGAAAATGGATGAAGAGGGGCCGATACCCCCCTCCTGGAAAAATTTTCTCCACATAGATTATGATATAGCTCTCTCACCTGCATTCCAGCGAGTACAAGTTAAGTGTTTCCAAGCATTCCCAGTAGTTGAGGTGTTTGACAGAACTTATATGTGCAGTAAAGGCTCTCTGTACTCTCTCTAAATCTGCAATTTGACATGCTTTGAGCGGAGATGCTAATGTACGGCAATATTCCACCTACAGAAAACAAGTGATTTGAAAAGGATCATCATTGGCTTGGCATCTCGTTTTGAACATTCTCATTATCCATCCTATCATTTTCTTTGCAGCTGTGATCATGGCACTGTTGTGATCCTTGAAAGTGAGATTCTCAGACATTACGACTCCCAGGTCCCTCACATTATTTTTTCGCTCTGTTGTATGATCAGAGTTTGTAGTATACTACTCAGTTCTAGGTATTATCTCCTCCAGTTTTCCATAATGGAGTAATTGAAATTTGTCTTCATTGAACATCGTATTGTTTTCCATTGCCCATTGGAAAACTTGGTTTATATAGTTGATATACATGTATATGATATAGTTGATACAGTCAATCATAAATACAGTATTTCAAGCTTGTGGTCCCCTTCAATCTTTCTCCACTTGCTTCAGTTTTACATTCCTTCACACTTTGTCTACTTCAATATGCAAGCAATTTTTACATACATGTGCTATGTATATTTGGGTGCAAATTAAGAGTCCATCAGCCCGTATTCACAAGTTTCACAACCTCGTGATCTTCATTCTGTACAATGAGAATATACTAACTTTTCCATAGTTTCTTTAAATTTTAGTATTACTGTATCATATGTTTTATATGAAAAAGTGACTATACTCTGGGTAGAAGTATCATTCAAAGTTTATTCTCTATAAGGATTACAATGCTGAGTTTACAGAATTTGGTTATTGTGTGGTTTACATGTAGTAAAATAATAATTACAGAGTGTACCACTAGAACACCTAGCATGGCTAGGCATTTTGGGCAGACAGTTTAATTCTTAATTTTAAAATATTACAAATTATGAGGTAAGTTGGTATTATGGCTAAGTGACTAAATACTAGTTTGTGAGTTTAGCAATGTGAATGCTTTTGTTTTGGCACAGTACATAGTTTCAGTATTGGGGTATCACAGACCAACTTATGACTATAGTTAGGATTCATTATTTTAAGATTGAGATTAATATTTCTGTTTATAGTCAAATGGGTGAGTGAGTGTAAGTGTGAACCACCAGGTGGTATTCGTGTAGTTAGTTGACGGGGT